CCCCCCCCAAATAGAAATCAGAAGGCTTCCAAGTTCACGTTTTTTGAATTTTGCTTATTATCTCCCAAAATACATGGAAACTGAGTCCCACCCACTTAAGTTGGAGCTCACTAGGGTTGAACTGGTACAGGGTAGTGCTCCAAATTTTAAGTAGGTCGAGCCAGTTTAGTTAGATTTCAAGACCACAACCACTTATGACCCCCCAACCCCAACCCAAAAAAAAACCTTTCTTTGGCATTTGGCTACAGGAATTGATCACCTCAAGGGCTATCAAGGAACAAATTGCTAAAACCAATCTGAAAGCTAGGAAAAAAGGACCATTTCCTCCTCAATTTCAAGCAACACATCCAGGAAATGCATTACAGCAACAAAAACAAGAGGAATTTTATCAAGGAGGCCAATGCAAGGTTGGAACCTTAGAAGCCCCGAGTATCAGTAGCTGCACAAGGAAAAGGGACGCATTTGTTGAAAAGACTGGGATATGAATATCACAGATAAAAGAGTTCTATGCCAACATTCGGTATGTCGAGGAGGGTGATTAATTGAAAATGAAGTAGGTGGAGGTTGATATTAGTCTAAGCAAGAACATGAGTACTTTCACCTTCAAGACCTCAACATTGAAGACTTCGATAAATTTCAAAATGAGCCTGAATATGAAGTTGTTTATGCCTGATATGTAATCCGACGCAAAACCTCGTACGTAAGGCTAACATTTCAGAGGAGAATATGGCACATTAGCGAGACACTTCATGACCAAGAGGATAAGCCGACCCTAACTTGTTTGAGACTGAGGCGTAATCGTTGTTGTTTGAGAAACAAGGAGCAGATATTTGAGGATGATATACAGATAGAGACTAGTAGGGCAATTTATGAGGATCCAAGGTCGTCCAAGCAGACCCTTATCATTGGAGATACATCATGACCCACCTCGTCGGATCAAGATTGTTCGCCTTGGAAACATAAGTTGAGAAATTGATGGGTCTATGCAGTATAACATTTTTTTGTTGTTGTTATTATTATTATTATTAATATTATATTGTTATTATTTCAATTTTTTTTGAAACTGATGGATGTATGCAGTATCATTAGACAAACACAACAGAACTTCATGGTGTAGTTTTAAATGTTGAAGTTCAAATGTTTAAGCAACCTGGCTACATGGTGTAACTTTGTCGAGATGTACGATGAAGGAATATTGGTAGATTTTATAGACTCGCTTCATTGTAACATTTTGACAGGTGTACTGTTCAGCACTGTCTTGGTGCTGGAATCATATGAATTAAATCTTTACTTGATCAAAAAAAATTTGACAAACACAGCTGTTGTTAACAAAGTTCAGCACGGTCTTGGTACTATTTTGGGAGATTTGAGTTATGAAAGATTATTCTGACCTTAGATCCTTGACCCTTGGCCCTTCATAGGGCTGAAAGTTGGTGCTTTTGTACAAAAGTGACGGCCTTCGCAAATTACTCTTCAAAACTCAACCCAGACTCTAATAGTTTTGCACTATGCATAGTGTTGTATGATGGAACTAAGATACGAGTGAGGACAGCGGGAGGATACTCAGAACACTCCCCGGTTGTGATGGAGTTGCATGAGGGATCAACCCTTAGCCTGTTCTTATTTTCTGTGGCGGTGGACGCATTGACGTGAGATATTCAGAGGGAGGTGCCATGGTGTATGTTATTTGCAGATGATATAGTTTTGATTGATGAAACGCGGTTTGGTGTTAACGGGAGGCTGGAGGTTTAGAGACAGACTCTTGAGTCTACCAGTTTCAAATTGAGCAGGACCAAGACGGAGTACTTGGAATGCAAGTTCAGCGACATTATAAGGAGATTGACAAGGATGTCACGCACTGTATCAGAGCAGGGTGGATGAAGTGGCGGCTAGCTTCCGGTGTCTTGTGTGATAAGAATGTGCCACTGAGACTTAAGGGTAAGTTCTACAAAGTAGTGGTTAGACCGACCATGTTGTATGTGGAAGAGTGATGGCCGGTCAAGAACTCGCATGTACAAAAAATGATAGCAGCTAAATGAGGATGTTGAGATGGATATGTGGGCATACTAGGTTGGATAAAATTAGGAATGAAGTTATTCGGGATAAGGTGGGAGTGGCCCCCTTGGAGGATAAGATGCGGGAGGCGAGGTTGAAATGGTTCGCGTATGTTAAGAGGAGAAGCATAGAAGCCCTAGTGAGGAGGTGTGAGAGGTTAACCTTGGTAGGTATTGTGAGAATGCATGGGAGAAAAATATACTCCCTCCGTTTCAATTTATGTGAACCTATTTCCTTTTTAGTCTGTGCTAAAAAGAATGACACATTTCTTTATTTGGAAACACTTTACCTTTACACAATGATTTATAGCCACACAAAATATATGTGCTTCATTTTACACCACAAGTTCAAAAGTCTTCTCTCTTACCTTAAACTCTGTGTCCAGTCAAATGGGTTCACATAAATTGAAACAGAGGGAGTATTATTGATATATTTTGTTAAGTGTTTTACAATAACCCTATTTATAACTATACACAATACATATTCTACTTCTATTCCATGTGGGACTAGGGTTATTTACATAACTATCTAATACTCCCCCTCAAGCCGATGCAGACAAATCATATGTACCGAGCTTGTTACATATGTAACTAATACGAGGACCAGTGAGGGACTTGGTGAAAATATCTGCAAGCTGATCATTTGACATCACAAACTTTGTGGCAATATCTCCTAAGAGTATCTTTTCTCTGATGAAGTGATAGTCAATCTCAATGTGTTTAGTTCTCTCATGGAACACCGCATTTGATGCAATATGAAGGGCGGCTTGATTATCACACACAAGTTCCATCTTGCTGATCTCACCAAATTTCAACTCCTTGAGTAAATGTTTGATCCAAACTAGCTCACATATTGCCCCAACCATTGTTCGCTATTCTGCTTCTGCACTAGACCGAGCAACTACTTTCTGTTTCTTGCTCTTCCAAAACACCAAATTACCTCCTACTAAAACACAATATCCAGACGTAGAACGTCTATCAGAAGGTGATCCTGCCTAGTTAGCATCTGAGTATCCAACAATTTGCTCATGGCCTCAATTTTCAAACAATAACCCTTTGCCTAGAGCTGATTTTATATATCGAAGAATGCAGACAACTGCATCCCAATGACTATCACAGGGAGAATCCATAAACTGACTCACCACACTCACAGAAAGGAAATGTTAGGTCTAGTCGCTGTGAGTTAATTTAATTTATCAACCAGCCGTCTATATCTTGCAGGATCGCTAAGCGACTCCCCCTGCCTTGGAAGAAGTTTAGAATTCGGATCAACAGGTCTACAGCCTGTCATTCCCGTCTCCTCAAGAATGTTTAAGGCATACTTCCATTGTGAGATCACAATACCTGAGCTAGATTAAGCGACCTCAAAACCCAGAAAATACTTTAATCTGCCCAAATCCTCAGCCTGAAAGTGCTGAAAGAGATGTTGCTTCAACTTAGTAATACCATCCTGATCATTGTCGGTGATAACAATATCATCAACATAAACCACCAGATAAATACAGAGATTTGAAGCAGAATGCCGATAAAACACAGAGTGATCAACTTCACTACGAGTTATGCCAAACTCCTGAATAACTGTATTGAACTTACCAAACCAGGTTCGAGAAGACTGCTTTAGACCATAGAAGGACCGACACAACCGACCTACAAGGCCACTAGACTCCCCTTGAGCAACAAAACCAGGTGGTTGCTCCATATAAACCTCATCATCAAGGTTATCGTGAAGAAAAGCATTCTTAATGTCCAACTGATAGAGAGGCCAATGGCGAACGACAGCCATGGATAGAAAAAGGGGGACTGATGTTATTTTAGCCACGAAAGAGAAAGTATCACTATAATCGAGCCCAAATATCTAAGTATACCCTTTGGTAACAAGAAGAGCCTTAAGTCGATCAACCTGGCCATCTGGACCAACTTTGGCTGTATACACCCAACGACAACCAACAGTCGATTTACCCGAAGGAAGAGGAACAAACTCCCAAGTACCACTCGTATGTAAAGCAGACATCTCGTCAATCATAGCCTGTCACCATCCTAGATGAGACAGTGCTTCATCACCTGTAGACTTAGGGATGGAAACAGAGGACAAAGATGATACAAATGCACAATGGGGCGATGACAGACGATGGTAACTTAAACCAACATAATGCGGATTAGGATTAAGTGTGGACCGTATACTTTTCCGTAGTGCAATCGGTTGACTAAGAGGAGACAAGTCCGCGGTATTAGCAGGGTTAGGTGCAGCACGTGAATCAATAGGGCTTGATGCTGGGCGTGGACGACGAAGATAAGTCAGGAGTGGTGGAGCGGTAGAAGGTTGAACTGGACTAGGTGGTGGAACTGGAGTTATAGGTGGCGGAACTAGAGCTATAGGTGGTGGAGCTGGAGTTGTAGAGGAAGATGGATGTGCGATAGTGACTGAATCTCCAAAAGATGGAACTGGTAGCACCTCAGAAATATCTAAGTAATTACCTGGACCTATGAAATATGATTGGATTTCAAACAAGGTAACATCAGCAGACATAAGGTATCGTTGGAGGTTAGGAAAATAGCATCGATATCCCTTTTGTGTTCTCGAGTAACCCAGAAATACGTACTTAAGAGCACGAGGAGCTAACTTATCTTTTCCTGGAGTAAGGTTATGAACAAAACACGTGCTCCCAAAGACACGGGGTAGAAAAGAGAACAAAGGTAAGTGGAGAAACATGATAATGAATGGAACTTGATTCTGGATAGCTGAAGATGGCATACTGAAGATGGCATACGATTAATAAGATAGCAAGATGTAAGAACTGCACCCCCCAACCCCAAAAAAAAATATAACGGAACATGAGGTTGTATGAGTAGGGTACAGGCAGTTTTAATAAGATGTCTATTCTTTCTTTCGGCTACCCCATTTTGTTTAGATGTGTACGAACAAGATGTTTGACGAATAATCCCGTGAGAGTTCATAATCTGCTGAAATGGGGAAGACAAATACTCTAGGGCATTATCACTATGAAATGTGCAGATAGAAACCCCAAATTGATTTTGAATTTCAGCGTGGAAGGTCTGAAAAATAGAAAACAACTCAGATCGATTTTTCATCACAAAAATCCAAGAACCTGGAATAATCATCAATGAAACTGACAAAGTAGCGGAATCCCAAGGTAGAACTAACCCGACTAGGACCCCAAACATCTGAATGGACTAAAGTAAAAGATGACTCTGCTCGATTATCAAGACGCCGAGAGAAATGGGAGCGGGTATGCTTACCGAGCTGACATGACTCACACTCTAGAGTGGACAAGTGAGATAAACCAGGTACCATTTTCTGAAGTTTTGACAAACTGGGATGTCCCAACCGTTTAAGTAATAAATGTCGTGAGTCAGTAACATGACAAGTTGTTGAAGGAAGAAAAGATGTGATTCCATGTGATTTTGCAAGGATAAGGTAATAAAGTCCACTTGATTTACGCCCGGTACCAATGATCCGCCATGTACTGCGGTCCGGCATAAAAACAAGGTCATCAAAAAATAAAATAGAGCATTTAAGTGATTTGGCTAAGCGGCTAACGGCTATGAGATTAAAAGGACTACCGGGAACATAAAGAACTGAATCTAGAGGCAAGGAAGGAAGTGGACTTGCTTGACCTATTCCAGCTGCCATGGTTTGAGACCCGTTGGCCATTGTGACTGTTGGAAGAGATTGAGAACATGAAATAGTAGAGAAAAAATATTTGTTACCAGAAATATGATCATATGCACCTGAATCAATGACCCAAGACTCGAAGGATGAAGATTGGGAGACACAAGTCACGTTGTTACCTGTTTGAACAACGGAAGCTATCGCTAAAGATCNATTCACTCGCCGAAAAATAAAAAGGTTGCCAGAATTTGATGAAACTTGAATGGACATGCTCGAAATAACCACCGGAGTAATCTATCCAAAAGAAGCTTAGTCGGAAAAATCAATATAGCCGCTGGAAAGTCAGTATAGTTGTCGGAAAAATCCCAAAGTGATCGGAATAAAAAGTAAAAGGCATGGGTAGGCTCGAAATTAGTGGACGATCAAACTTTCCTGAAGGAGCTTTGTCAAAAAATGGCTGGAAAAGGCTGCACTCGACGGCGCGTGAACTCACGCACACGCTGGAACCCTGGCTTTCGCCGGCGTGTGAAGGGGCTTATGTCGGAGAGGCCGACTGGGGTTTGGTCTCCAGACTATGGTGGAACTTGTGGTGGTGTTGGTTTTCGCACAACACTGTCAGATATGAAGGTTGACGCGGACAACCACTTAGGTCACCAAAAAATTGCACGGTGACTGAGTTCTTTCTTCCCGGATGTCGCTGGAATGACGCACAACGATCTTTTCCCATCGATGCTCTGATACCATGTGAGAATGCACGGAAGAAAAATATATTATTGATATATTCGGTTAAGTATTTTACAATAGCCCTATTTATAACTATACACAATACATATTCTATTTCTACTCCATGTGGGACTAGGATTATTTACATAACTATCTAATAGGTATGAGGAGAGGTAGAGGTAGGCCAAAGAAGTCTTGGGGAGAGGTGATTAAGCGTGATGCGGCACAGTTGGAGCTTACTGAAGACATACTCTTGATAGGAGGGTGTGGAGGTCTAGGATTAGGGTAGAAGGTTAGTAGGTAGTCGAGCTTCTCCCTTTGTCTTGCTCAGTTCGTTAGCATTAGTGTTAGTTTGTTATCCATTTATTATTAGATTGCTATTAATACCATTTATTTGCTAACTTGGTTTCAATCCTCTTTATCAAATTGTTGTTTATACTTGTTCCCATTGTTTCTTTTTATCTTTTCTTAAGCCGAGGGTCTTTCAGAAACAGTCTCTCTGCCTTCCAGGGTAGGGGTAGGCTACGTACATCTTAACCTCCCCAGACCTCACTTGTGGGAATTCACTAGGTTTGTTATTGTTGTTGTATAGTGTTGTACACCAGCTTGAGATTTTGCTAGAGCCCCCTGATGCAATAGTGCTAAAAACTTGAGTTTTAAGGCTCAATTTGACTCTTTTGCTACTTTACATATCAAAAATCAAGCTTACTTAGCTTTCTAACTTGGGCGCTCTAGCGCCAGTGAAGAAACTCTCCAATAACGGCACTCAAAGGTGTGGTCTAGTTGGTCAATGAAGTGGATTGAGAAGTCTCACATTCAAATCCCAGCAACATTAAAAGAACACTAGGTGATTTCATCACATCTGTTCAAACCTTAGTGGATAGGTGCTGGTGGGAGGTATAACATACCCCGTGAAATCAGGCGAGGTGCACACAAGTTGGCCCGAACATCAGGGTTATCAAAAAGGACTCTCCAATAACGCTGCCTAATGCACTTTCCAACTCCTCTAACATGTTCAACACACCACCAGTCGAGCTCAATTTGGACAAAACATTTTCTTAAATTTGGGGCTCAGCTTTTGGCGAGCCCCATTTTATACTCATGGACTACGATTTCATATTGCACTTGATTGAGTTCATTAGACCGTTGTTGTGTAATTAAACTATTGGGGATTCACATTTGGCAATCTTGAATAGTGAATTACTTTTTGTTTCTATCTCAGGCAAAACGAATCAGAACAAGGCATACATATCATTGTCAAGGAAGCTAGATAGTTCCATCTTCAAGCTAATGAAAGGTCAATTCACAAAAAAAGGTTGATCTTTGAACAAAATTTAGGCCAATCCCCAACAGATAAAACTGAATATATTCACATAAAGAGAACATAGAGTGTATTATTCATACCTCCACTCGCCTTCATCATAAGGAGAGTAGTCAATGTCCTCTTTCCTTACGCAATTAAACATCAAAGCAGCCAAAGACGCGAATATACCTACAAATATCCCAAATAACAAAGAAATTGAAGAGCACAAGAAGAACCTTAAGCAAAACCCCTATATCCAGAACCAAGAAAATCAAGAATCACATGCAAAAAACTTAGATATCAAGAACCCAGAAAAATTCAACAATCTTACGCCAAAACCCACATCTTAAGAACCCAGAAAAATCAAGAATCTTAGGAAAACCCCATATAACAAGAATCAAGAAAATCAAGAATTATAGGGCAAATATGTTATGAGAGATAGGGGTGAAATACCTGGGAGATAATGAAGGAAAGAGACTTTGACGGAGCTACAAACGACGGCATCAACCCAGAACCACCAACCGGCGCCGAAGACAGCGCCGGACACCCCAGGTCCAAATATTGCCCATAGCTCTGGAAAATCCATTTGGATCACCTCTTCTTTACCCAAAAAACTGATGAAAAAGTGAAAATCCTTCAAAATTGATGAGAGTTTTCAGTGCAAAGAGAAGAAGTTTCTTCAGATTTGTGGGGTGTGATTGTGTGCTGTCTTCGTCAGTTGGTCTACAATGTCACTCTTCGAGTTGTGTATCTTTTCTAAAAAAAAATTGTACTTGCCAGTAGTTGTCAATTTAAAAGACGACTATTCAATGTTAAGAAGTTAATTAAAAAAAGATGAAGAAAATAATAATTTAAGCATTAAGCTCTACATAAAATCATACAATGTTTATTAGAGGAGTTAAATTAAATAATTCTTGCGAAACTAATACAGAATTTAGTTACACACATAAGAAAAATTGGAGAAGGGCCTAAACTGACCCTGAACTATGGGATTTGATATAATATTGTCCTCCGTCCACTTATCGCACTAATAATACCCCCGAGATTAACTTTTCGGCTAAAGTTTGCCCTAATTTCTGACGGTCCCATTATGGTCGGGGGAATTTTTAGCCCGATACGTAAATAGAGGGAAATATTGTACCAAATTTTATAGTTCAGAGGTATTTTATGCCCTTCTCCGTTTTATATTTGACCACGTTATCGTTGTATTCCAATGTGTACTACCTTAGTTGGAGAAAAGCTGGTATTACAAAAATAAGAGAAAAATTTACGTATATTTACCATTCAACATCATCTTTTCCTCTATAAGAAGTTTAATGGAGCATTGCAAATATCAAGGGAAATGCATATTTAGTTAAAATTTATTTAATTAAAAAAAAAAAAAAAAGGTCCAAATTTACGTATCTACTTTCGAATATTGTTTACATATAATCTCTGTTATACTATTCGGTCAAATTTACCCCTACCGTTATACTATCCGACCAAATTTACCTTGGAATACCTAATGTACTGAGGGGTAATTTTTAAAAGGCAGCTGATGGTAGAGGTAAATTTGGCCAGATAGTATAACGGTAGGGATAAACTTGACCGAATAGTATAATATAGGTTAAATGTAGACAATACCCGAAGTTAGAGGGAAAATTTGGCCCTTTTTTCCTTTTAAAAAATACAGAGAAGGGCCTAAAATAACCCTAAACTGCAGAATTTGGTACAATATTACCCTCCGTCTATCTATCGGGTTAAAGATGCCATCGGCTATAAGGAAACAGTTAGAAATAAGAGCAAACTTGAGTCGAAAAGCCCGATAGGTGGACGAAGGATAATATTGTACCAAATCCCATAGTATAGGGGAGAAGAAAAAATAATCCCTACACAACTAATGATTGGTACTTGGTAGTATTGAATAAGTTAAGAAAAAGTTCCAGATACATACCTTTACTATTATATGTTGTTCAAATATATCCCTATATATTTTTGGTCCACATTTACCTAAAAGAATCAGCCCCCACCTAGAAAATTAGAAAGAGAACAAACGAGTTATTTCTTTCTTCAAAAAAATTCGCGATTGAAAGCTCTACAGCTACAAAGGTTCTTTCTTTCTTAAAAAAAATTACTTCTTTTCTTTGCGACTAATCTAGGTTTTTCTATCATCTATAATCTTCGAAAAGAGCATACAATGTCGGAGAATAGTTGCTCGTCAAAGAGAAAGTGTCATTGCTGGGAAATTGCAAACCATTTCACTTCAAAACTCCTTTTAATCCTAGAAGGAGATTCTATAAGTGTCCTAAACCCGAGGTTAGTTCTAATGTTATGTAAACTTAAGAGGGTGTTTGGCTAAGCTTATAAGCTAGTCAAAGTAGCGCACTTTTCGGCTTATCTACGCGTTTGGTAAATTTAAAAGTGCTTATAAGTCAAAAATAAGCCAAAAGCCATAAGCTGGTCACCCCAGCTTATAAATTTTTAGCTTATAAGCACTTTAAGTTTGACCAAAATTTTTACTATTTTATTCTTAAATATTCTTTTTTAGAACAAAACTCTTGCATCAATACTCACTGCCTCAAGTACTATTTCAACCTAACCCCCTCCCTCCGCCTCTTCAAGTCTGCAATGCTCATTGACTATTTAAGATAAGCAAATTCTCTATTCCTTTGCATATTTATATCTATGTGATTGTGTATTAATCTTTGAACTATATATAATAAATGAGGACATGTCAAATATTTTGTTATGTTGCTTTCTAAGTGTTGTGCTGATAAAGACAGCGTTTGTTTCTCTTCAAATATTTTGTCCTATTTAGGTTTATTTTTTACTGAGAAACTTTTATCAATTTATTAATTATTATAACTTATGATTATATGCTTATCATAAAATAAATTATATTTATCATAAAATTTATCTTATCTAAGCACAGTTGTATTTAAAATAAAATGACAAATAAAATATTTTGTATTTGGATCGATTTGGAATCTAAAATTTTGAAGATATTACGCCCTTATAGGTGTAAACACTTATAAGGTTATTTAAGTCATTTTAACAGAAAAAAGCTTATCAGCACTTTTTTATCAAATACTGTAGCAGCTTATTATCAATTTCAGCACTTGTATCCAAACGCGTAACTGCTTATTTATTAAATCAGTTTCAGCACTTAAAAGTGCTTTTCAGCACCTAATGCCTATCAGCTACTTCAAATCAGCTAATCCAAACGGGCTCTAATTGTTGGATTTGTTGTCGCGGTTATGATGAAGTGAAACAATCTATAATAGTTGAATATTAGGATGTTTATTTAGTGTGAGTAGTGATTTTCTTTCGGATGTGATCAGTTGTTGGATATGAACGAAATATGTTCATTATGTTTTTGTTGATGTGAATGTTATATCTATAATAATAATATTTAATGAATGTTCAACTGTATAATTCACTATTGCATCTTATTGCCAGACTTTGAGATTTCTTTAGTGCTGATAGTAACGAGAATCATAGAACAGTTTGACATAGGAAAGGGTTAATTTTGTTAGTTTACCTTTTATATATGTTAAGCTCGTGATATTTGTTTGAGTTGATGCGTTGTAAGTTTGCTCTTTGGCTGTATTTGGGTTAGTATATATCTAAATTATTTTTCTAAATTAATACTAGTAGTTTTTTCACATAACTTTGTTGCTTTTCAATTTTGGTTTGACTTTCTCAAGACTAGCCATATATATCAAATGTTAAGTAAAATATGTACATGGTTTATAACCAAATTTTCTGGCCTAGCTTGTTGGCCATAAGCTTATGAACAAATTTAGCCTAGCATATCAGAACACTATCTACCTCCAAAACTTGCAGATATGTATGAAACTGCACAACTTTAGTTGCAAAAAATACAGCTGAAAAATTAACACAACTTCATCTGCAAAAATCAACTATATGTATAATATATAAATTAATTATCATTTTGTCACAACTAAACCTGGTAATTACTAAAACAAACAAAATATAAAATAGTAAAAATCCCATAATTTAAGATAGTCATAAGCTTGACAAGTACATCTAACTGGAGAAGTGGATGCCTTGTTACAACCCCAAAAACTTATACAACCTAAGTCATATTATGACATCCAACTCCATATGTCACCAACACAACCAAAAATCAAAGAGAATGTAAACTGTCATATAGCGGTAATTACATTCAAATTTTCACTGCCCAACAGAACAAAATAGGATTGTCCTTCCATTTCCTTCCATGCTAAGCAGAATATCAAATTCCCCTTCTTGGCTACAACTTCCCAATTCTCTGTCTCGCTTGTATCTCCAACTGATTTCCAGTCAATTCCTTGTCAAGTTTCTAGGTGAGTATGAAAGATCAACTGGTTCACTTACACGTGTGGTTCCCTGTGAATTTGATTTTCTCTGTCCCTAAGGGCATCTTTACCTGCTGTCTTTCTAGAAGTCTAGTTTGTGATTCTAATATAATATTGGGTCTTATTACAGGTTCAGGATCATCCTCAAAAGTTGAAAACTCAAAATCTGAAAAAGAATACACATTTGGAGTAGGCATAAACACAAAGGATTAACTGCTGACAGTGCATTGGAATGCTGATACGCTAACATCTTTAGTTTCTAATTGGGACTGCATCACTTCATCATCCTCAGTGTCTTGACCAAGCAAAGTTCTCTATCTCTTAGCTAGCTTCCTAGCCTTGGATGTCTACCCCTCATTTGATGGATGCTTACCCTTTGTCAGTTTCTTTCCTTTTATTGGCTATTACACAAAAATACAATGCAGTTAGAGTTGAATAGTTATTTAACAAGTGGATAATTAAATTGATTAAGTAATCTTTACCTTTTTATATCCCCTTGCATTGTGGGTTGGCTCTCTTACAATTGCCACAAGTCATAGTCCTTCCTTTCCGAGATTGACTCCACTCACCTTGCCTCATCCTTTTGTCCAACTCTCTTGATTTTAGGCCTGCCAGCCAACTTCATCAATTACGGAGGTTCCATGCGTTGAGATAGGTTTATTTTCAAGAACTTCTCACCATGTACTGGCTGTAATTTATGCTTATATGTCAGTAGAAAGGCTTCTTTACTATACCAACAGTGCATCTCCTTCAAAGTATTTTCCTTCAAATACAACAATATCTTTATTGCATGAGGACATAGGATTCCAGAAAAATCACATGCCTTGCATGTGCATCTTTTCATCTGCAAGTTGACAATGTGTTTGCTAACCTCTTCCACCATCCCAAAACCATCATCACCATTGAAATCAACTCGACAAGCTTGATAAGCTATTTTCATATAGTCATTATAAAGCTCCATGCTTTGGGGACTGTACACACACTTCCAAGTTCATATTCATTCTTACTCAATTGATTCTCCTCTAGCATATTAATCATAGGCTTGTATCTAGCTTCCAAAATCTAAGAATTGAAAGACTCAATCAAATTATTGTCAACTGACTAATTCTTGCACATAGTTTCAAAGTATGCCATACAGTAAGACTGAGGTGGATCTTCAATAAGTCCACGACAGCTTCCTCCTTCAACTGTCCCATACTTTTCAACTGATTTTTGAAGTCTTTTTCATAAGTGCACCAAGCACTCCACCAAAATAACTTCTTTATTTCCAATTATCTATAGTTTTTGTTATAGTTTGCCTCTACATGTTTAGGCAAAACCTATGCATTACTTCTGGAAGGACTATTTTGACTGCCTCAATTAATCCCTACAAGCAAGAAATCAATAATACAAGCTAAAATTGAGAAACAAAAAATGGATAGAAATTGTACTAGATAGAAAAAGAAAATACCTTCTGTGTGTTTGACATTAAAGTGTCTCCATCACCCATCTTCAAGTTCAGTGAATAATGAAGTAGCTCCAGAAACCAAGTCCATATATATATATATATTTTTTTTAAATTAACTATAGCCCAAGCTAAAGGATAAAAGTAGTTCATATTGCTTTGCCTAATAACAACTATTAATTGGCCTTTAACTTTCCCTTTCAAGAATATACCATCCAATCCATTGTATGGTCTCAGACCCTCCTTGTACCCCATTTTTAATGCTTGAAAATAAATGTGCATTCTAAGAAATTTCTTTTTGCCTTGAGATAGTACCTTCTTCTTCTATCATCAGTACCAGCTAATGCTATAGTTGCATATGTCTCAGTATGATGGAAAATGTTGAGGACAGAAACAGAAGGCTCACACTCATCTATAACATACAGATTTAGGACTCTAAATTCCTCACAGACAAGGCACAAAAGGTGTTTAATTCCTGCATCCCCTTCAACTTTATAATACTTACCCTCCCCCCCATATGAACAATCATACCACAACTAAAAGACAATGCTGAAAAAAATAATTTCACTAACTTTATAACAAAAAAATACCACTGAAATTATTTAATACCCATAAACAAAAACAAGATACCCTAAACCAGAAACACCTCCTACTTACAGGAAACATATATCATAAATACACATATCCACATATCAAATGTAACACACCAATATCGAGACAACCAAATAGATCAAAACCCAACGCTGAAATAATAAAAATTCAGAAATGACCAAAACCTTAATTGAAAGTTAGAAAAATATAGGGATCACCTCAAAAAAGGCGCATGGACTAACATATATCAATAAATCGGCAAACACAAAAATTAAAAACAATGATAAGAACATATATAGGTACATTTAGCAAGAAACCTAAAACCTTAGATCTTCACCGGATATATATGGATATTCTTTGATTCTACAAGAAACATAAGTTGATTAATTAAAGAGGTAATTTTTGAAGAAAGAAAGAACCTTTGAAGCTGTAGAGCGTTCTATTGCGATTTTTTTGAAGAAAGAAAGAACCCTAGTTCGAGATCATCGTTCGTGCCCTTTCTAATTTTCTTGGTGGGGACTGGTTCATTTAGGTAAAGAGGAGTTTTATCTTAAAACGGAAAATGGGAAACGGACCAGGTTTTAGTTTTATTCGGTTCGGGTCTTTTAGTTACAGGGTTGGGAAATTTTATTAGAGGTTGCCACGTGTTTTATCGGTTAAAAGAGGGGTATATTTAAAACTTTGATGTACGTTAAGGTAAATGTGGGCCAAAAGTATAACATAGGTATATTTGAACAATATATAATAGTAGAGGGTATATTTGGATTTTTTTTGCAATTTAAATAATGCTCAAATATGTTATTCAAAAGTTTTTGTATTATTTTATAAGAATTTATGTATTGTTTTATACGACATAATATATACTATACTAAAAACACGAATGTCTTTAACGAAATATTTTTTCACCTTTTTTATTCTTTAAAAATATATTTTTCATTGAACAAAAACGTAATTTAAACACTTTCCTAGTACTTAGGAATTTGAAAATAATTAAAAGTTTGCTTAATATTTGGACTAGGTATGAAGTCCTAATATTTTGGACTTTAAAAATCATTAAAGCTTTATCTTATTTAAATCGTTAAACATATGAGGAAAAACGATCAATACCCTGAATCAACAACTAAAACACAAAATGTTCACCACGTTTGTTTTACCCTATTTTCATTAACAAGAGATAGTAATCCAAGTACTATTAATTAATGTTTGTACGTAGAATAAATGACGAGAATTTAAAACAAATTTTCATTTCAGATTTGATCTTACAAGTAAAAAAAAAAATTAGTAGTCCATAAAATATGTGTTAATATTAAAATTTCCGTATTGATGATGGTCACGATTATGAAAATGCTAATTTAGCTTCCGAAAAGGTTGATCCAAGTTATGCGGCTCAAATTAGATATAAGTCCATACATTTTATTTCTCTTTGTCTCTATTTGAATTGAATAAATTATATCGTTAGCTTTTTATGAAGTTTCTCTTTCTACCCTCGAAGCAAACAAGAATTAAGAAAAAATACATAAATTTCAAATACTAAAAGAAATTAGTTCAGTGAAATTTAGACTTATGCCAACATGGAAGATATTAGAATACACCAAGTTTTAGGCTTAAAAAGTAACTCGGATTATTTGTTTGTGGGATACTTCTTGCTGAAATAAGATTTTTAAAGCTAAAATTCATTAGTTTCAAATACAATATTTAATATATATAGTGCTAGTTAGATAGGGTATACGCGCAATGCGTGTACCAAAAGACTAGTTAGAATAGGATATACATGAATTAGAAATATGGAAATAAAAGTATTTATTAAAAACAACAAAATTGTTAAAACTAATTTGTTACATAACTCTATGTATTATTTTCACTGTAAACAATTTGTATTTTACAATAATATTATTTCATTAATATTCACAGCATATAATTCACACATAACAAGCAGAACAAAAATGGTCCCATAACAAATAATTTGTGAAAATAGTCTAAAGCATCGACGATGCTAAAACTATGGTAGATAATCTCATCTGCAAATTCTTGCCAACTGAAACAAACATTTTACCTACTCTATTACCTAAATGCAAACGACGACTGTGCAGTAACGCGTGGCAATGCCAAAATCTGCTGAAAGAGGACAAACAACAAAGTCGAGGGTTTACATTACAGCTACCTGAAACGTGAAATCAGTACGACAAAACGCTAAAAGAATATGGAACTATGATGATAAAATTAAACTCATTGCTCTGCGCTAATTGCTTTGAATTAACACTGTAAGAATATTTACAATAACTTTACAAGGCTTGCGTAGTAGGGAATATCCTCTAACTACTGTATACAATTACAAGAAGCAGAGCTACTGTCACCACCCAGCTCACCACCACAAACAGCCATCGGGACAGAGCCATTCAAACCACTCCAAATTCCACTGTACAGTAAGCTCTGAATGAATATACAACAATCAGATTCCGTCCTCAACCTAATCTCGATGGCTCCTGGAAGGGCGCTTGTTGTCATCATCTTAGCTTTAAATAAGCCATCCTCCCCGATGGTTCAGATAAAAATGGTGTACCAGCAGCAAAATGCCAGATATGGCGTGCTCGTTCGAACCAAAATCCTACAATGACTGAGCTAAATCTATCCATCAGGATCCAGTGGTTCTCCAGAACACTCATCTAAAGCAGCTTCCTCCTCCTTCGGAAGGCACCGGATTGGGACATAGACGTACCCTTTAGGTAATCGCTGGTTCTTCATTGAGGCTTGATCTGAAGTCATTACCAGCTCTTTCTCAAAAGTTTCCATATGCTGTACATGCAAGAAACTGGTTAAGATCTAAATTCCAGCAAAAAATGCATATCAAATATCTAACCATACATCCAACTAAAGGCATGGATGTTTCCTGTTATGAAGAATGTCAACCTAATGAATCAGATGGAACAAGACTCTACCTTTCTGTAGCTCAATCGCTTGTCCCCGTCATCTGTAGAATTGCAAGAAGCTCTACAAGGGATTTGCTTCCCAGAAAATGAAGCTCGTTGTGCAGGTTTTTGTGTGACAGGGTTGGGTGATATAGAACTATCATCAGTCTTTTGATCATTGTCCATAGGCACAGGAAACTTAATGCGCCGTTTTCCTGCTACAGCACTGTCTACTGTTATGTCATCTGATCTTTGTATTGTTTCACTGCCTGATTTATAGCCATCAGTGTAGCCTTTAATGGATGTCGTAGTAGCTGAATCTGAACTAACATCAGGTTGGAAGTAAGGGTGTCGAGTCAGAGCAGATAAAACAGCATTGTCTCTACTTGAAGCCAGAATATCATGTGAGCAAAGGATTACTTCACGCTGCAAATCAAGAAACAACCATCAGGCCAAGACACCAGAAGAACATGCAGCATAAAGAAAGAATAAAGCAAATCCCACATTTCGTGCAATATCTACGAACAACAACAACAAACCTAGTATAATCCCACAAATGGGGTATGGGGAGGGTAGTGTGTTCGCAGACCTTACCCATACCTTGATGGTGGAGAGGTTGTTTCCGACCCCGGCTCAAGGAAAGATGAAAAGAAAGCAGTAAGCAGCAAGATAACAAGCGGAATGATCAATATGTAGTAATAGAGATCTAACAATAATAGAATACAAGGCTAACTACTAGTACTACAGGTAAAGGGAAGACACACACTCAAATACCTACTAACCTTCTACCCAATTCTCGACTTCCACACCTTCCTATCAAGGGTCATGTCCTCAGTGAACTGAAGCAACGGCAAATTCTGCCTAATCATCTCTCCCCAGTACTTCTTTGGTCTACCTCTACATCTCTTCAGATCCACCAAGGTCAACCTCTTGCACCTCCTCAGTGGGGCGTCTGTGCTTCTCCTCTTCACATGCCCAAACCATCTAAGTCTCGCTTCCCGCATCTTGTACTCCACCGATGCTACTCCCACCCTGTTCCAAATATCTTCATTCCTAATCTTATCAATTTTGGTATGCCCGCACATCCATCTCAACATCCTCATTTCTGCTACTTTCATCTTCTGGACACGGAGTTCTTGACTGTCCAACACTCTGCTCCACACCATAAGGTCGGTCTAACAACCACCCTGTAAAACTTACCCTTTAGTTTAGGTGGCACATTCTTATCACACAGAACATCGGATGCGAGACTCTATTTCACCCATCCCGCTCTAATACAATGTATAACATCCTTATCAATCTCCCCATTTCCTTAGATAATAGACCCAAGGTCCTTGAAACTATACTTGTGTATCAAGCCTCACGTTCATGTCCGCTCCATTGGTCTTGGCACTGAACTTGCACTCTAAGTACTCAGTCTTGGTCCTACACAGCTTCAAACCTTTAAACTACAGAGTCTATCTCCAAACCTCTTGTCTCGCGTTAACACCGCCTCGCGTTTCGTCAATCGGTAATATCATCCGCAAATAACATACACCATGGCACCGCCAAGGCAAATAAAATGGGCTAAGAATCGACCCCTGGTGCAACCTGCACCCCATCACAACTGGTAAGTGGTCCGAATCCCCCCTCCCCCACTATCATCACCCGTGTTTTAGCTCCATCATACATGTCCTTAATTACTCTAGTGTAAGCAACATGAACACCCCTAGCCTCCAAACATTTCTATAGAATCCCCCTCGAAACTTTGTCGTATGCTTTCTCTAGATTAATGAAAACCATATGTAAGTCCCTCTTCCTCTCCCTATACTACTCTACCAAACTCCTTACAAGGTGAATGATTTCCGTAATCGAATGTCCATGCATGAATCCGAACTGGCTTTCGGAAAAAGACACGCTCCTCCTCACCCTCGCTTCCACTACCCTCACCCAAACTTTCATAGTATGACTCAACAGCTTGATACACTTATAGTTGTTGCAATTTTGGATATCACCCTTATTTTTGTACACCGGAATAATCATACTCCATCTCCATTCCTCAGGCATCTTCTTCGTCATAAATATGATGTTAAACAACCCAGTGAGCCATTCCAAGCCTGCTCTCCCATGCTCTTCCAAAATTCTAGCGAAATTTCATTTGGCCCGGTCGTTATTCCCTTGCTCATCTTATGCATAGCCCTCTCGACCTACAAAATTTTAATACGCCTACAAAAACCAAAATCGCGACGACTCACGGAGTGCTCCAAATCACCTAACACAATACCCATGTCTCCTTCATTTAGGAGTTTATGGAAGTATGTTTGTCATCTGTCTAATATGCGCCTCTTCCATCAATCCTCTATCTTCCTCGTTTTCGATGCACTTCACTTAGTCCAGGTCACGGGCTTTCCTTTCTCTCACCTTGGCTAGCCTGTACAGCTTCTTGTCCCCACCTTTGTCGCTACGTTCTTCGTACAAACGGCCAAATGCTGCAGTCTTAGCCGCCGTAACCGCTAACTTCGCCTCCTTCTTGATCCTCTTGTACGACTCCCTATTCATCCTCTTCTCCTCCTCGTCCTTGTTCTCCACCAGCTTCAAGTACGCCACTTTCTTGGCTTCTATTTTTCCTTGGTCCTCTCC